TCCATGGGCATTGCATGACATGGGTGTACTTACATGCGTATACATAGAAATAAAAAAATAAAATAAAATATTTAAAAAATTCCCTTCATTATCATGAGAATTTATCTAGGATGATGAAAACTAAAGATGACACAAAAGCTTTAGCTCACTATATTTATCCCCCAAATTGAACTTTAAAAAAATATTTTATTTTTGTTTTATGTGTATGAGTGCATTGCCTGCATGTGTGTAAGTGTATCTGTCTGTGGAAGTCTGTGGAAGTCAGAAGAGGGTGTTGAATTCCCATGGAACTAGAGTTTTATGAATGGCTGTTAGCCACCATGTGGGTGTAGGGAATCAAACCCAGATTCCTGCAAGAGCAGCCAGTGCTCTTAACCACTGAGCCATCTTTCCAGCCCCTAAACCGAACTCTTGATTGCTTGTACCCACCCAACATTCTCCAGCCTATCTTCTCCATCTCAGCAAAGGCTGGCAAATTCAGTTTTCAAGTTTCTCAGAAAACATTTTATCATCATTGATTCTTCTCTCTTTCTAGAGTCCTTAATGTATTTTGCCAGCAAATCATATTCGTCTTCAAACTATGTTCAGAATCTTACTATATCTTAAGGCTTTAACTGTAACAACCCAGTTCAAGCCACTGGGATAGTACAATAAGATCTATCACTTTGCAGAGTCTTCTCAACATGGCTTCAAGAGTAAACATTGTGAAGCCTAAACTTTATGGTGTCAGTCTTCTGTTAATTGGATCCCAGCCCCAGGCACACGGGCTTTCTAGTACTTCTGTGACCTCACTTTACACTGTTTGCTTTCTGGGTAACTCTTCCTCAGCTAATAAGGCCTCCTGGTAGTTCTTCCAACTATCTAACCAGGCCTATCACCACAACAGGGACTTGATATGAGCTCTTCTGTCTGGTATGCTCTTCCTTCAGATATTTGTAGATGCCTCCTTTGCCTTCTTCAAGTGCCACTTTCTTAGTGAGGCTGACCCTAATTGCCAGTTTTCAATTTCCCCTGTGGTTGGTCGCATTCTACATCCTGTTTCACGTATTTTTTCCTGCCTGGTAACAATCATGGCCTTCAAACATACTATATACTGTACCTATTTTATTTTTGAATTCCTCCCTCTTGGAATATATATTTGATGATGCCTCTGATGATGTCTCTTTTGTGTATTGCTCTATTGGCAGCTTGTAGGGTATGTCAGGATTTACGATAAATGTTTTTTTTTTTTTTAGTCTTTTTGAGACAGGGTCGCCCTGTACCCCAGCTGTCCTGGAACTCACTATGTAGACCAGGCTGGCCTTGAACTCACAGAGATCCGCCTGCCTCTGCCTCACAAGTCCTGGGATTAAAGGTGTGTGCCACTATGCCCGGCCCGATAAATGCTTTTTAAAAGGTAAATATTTGTTGAAATGAAAAAGTTATTTCTTACCAGAATGAGAGTGTCAGATACTGGATTGCATGGGGATAAGATCCCATTTGCCTGGAGAGGTCAAGGGTGCTTTGAACCCTAATAATCTATGATTCCGTTCCCAGTTTGACTCTTAAAAACATGATTGTTTTTTCAGTAGTGAGTACTAATTTTAAAAGACTCCAGGGTGTTAAACCTGAATGGAATGAAAAGCCCCCAGAAAGATGATCAAGATTACAGTTTTAAAAGCTACCAAAGCACTGCAATTCTTAACATTTCTTTTCCCATCAGGGAAAAGAACATTTCTGCAATCTTTAATATTTCTTTTCCCATCTATGTCCTCCTGCTTTGAGATATATCAATGCATCTGGAAGGCAGAGGAAGCCAATTTACTTATGCAGTAATAATTTTGTGATCACCTCCTTTCTCCAAGGCATCAACAAATTTATTTTTATTTTATATGTGTGAGTTGTCTTGCCTGCATGTATGTAAGAGCACCACATGCACGCAATGCCTGAGGAGTCCAGAAGAGGATGTTGGATCACCTAGAACTGGAGTTACAGATGGTTGTAAGCTGCCACGAGGATGCTGGGAACTGAACCCGGGTACTCTTCAAGAGCAGCCAGTGCCTTTAACATCTCTCCTGCCCTCAAAGATATCTTTTCTATTTTATATTGGTTTTACTTTTGGACTATGTATCACGAGTTAAATATAGGTCTAAAGCAAGAACTCTACATATTCACCTAACTTTTGAAAGGAAAATTTTAAAATTATTCTGTACAACTTTAGGATCTATCTTTTGGGGATTCCTATTTTAAAGGAGCATAGAATTTTAGGACAGCAAGGTTTTAGTTCATTTGGTTAAACTATCTAATCCTACAGTATAAAAACTGAGGCTCAATTAAGTTAAATAACTTCCCAGGTCCACAGAGTATGATCAGAAGAACCTACTCTAAAGGGTAAATTAAGATAGTTTAGAGATTATAATTAAAAAATAGTTCTCAATGTCAGAAAGTTAGCTGCATACAGCAACAAATACACATGTCATTCTAAAAATGTGTAGCGCTACTCAGCTTATTTCCATGGGAAGAATCCCATATGCACCCTAACAAATCAGAGTCATGAACTGGGACTAGAGAGATGGCTCAGGTGTTAAGAGCACATCCTGCTTGTGCAGAGGACCTGAGTTCAGTTACCAGCACCCACACTGGGCACGGCTCACAATCGTTTGTAACTCCAGCTCCAGGGTATCCAACACTCTCTTCTGAATTCTGTGGACATCTGAATTCACACATGCACATGCTGAGAAACACACATATACACATAGTTAAAAGTAAAATAAATTTCAAAAAGAGTCATGGATTACAAAACAGTAAGAATTTGAAGGTTACTTGAACTATTCCCCGTGTGAAGAAGTGACTTCATTAAAGAGATGGTTCCCTTCAGCCATGGCTTTTGCTAATCTTTCTGGAGAGCTTCTTTTGTCGCTTAATAAGATCATTATTTGAAATAAGCAAATTGGCACTTATACATGCTCAGTTTCTCTCTGCACAGTGAATATGTATGAAGATTATCATGCCAGAGAAATGTGAAAGATGTGAAGTCTGTGTACAGTAACAATGCTTTATTATCCTTTAATAACTCCAAGAGACAGAGGTTGTGTGTGTGTGTGTGTGTGTGTGTGTGTGTGTGTGTGTGTGTGGTGATGTAACTTGTATTTTTCCCACATACTTTTGGAAATCCTTTATTTTACTAACAGGTGGTAGTCATCAAAACTTTAACTTCTGCAAGAACTTTGTTGTTTTAGCTTTGTTATAATTTGTTTAGAAATCAAATCTGGTCTTTTGGGGTGTAAAACTCCTGTGCAATGGCAACATTAATTGAGCATAATTTGAGCTAACTTGATCTCCCTGGAGTTCTATTTCTTTAGATATGATAATTTGCTAGTTACCATACCTTTTTTCTTTGTTTTTTAGATAGGGTCTCACTCTGTAGCCCTGGCTGGCCTAGAACTCAGAGATCTGCCTGCCTTGGCCTCTTGGGTGCTGGGATTAAAAGCATGTACCACTATGCCTGGCATTTTTTTTTTTTTTTAAATACAGGGTCTCAGATAGTCCAGGTTGGCCTCAAACTCCCGATTTTCCTGCTTTCAGCTCTAACGTGCTAGAATTACAGGTATGTACCACTACACCCAGCCTTGTTTCCTGGTTTGTTTGTTTTTTTGAGATACACTCAAAAAAGCTTTTCAAATATTGTATATGAAACCAATCTTCCTTTTAAAGAAGTTATTACAACCCTTGGTTACTTTCCCACATACAGCACACTTCACCTAGCATGGATTAAGGCTGGATTTACACAATATGCTGAGCTTCCACATCCTAAATGTACTTATCTTGGAAGTATTTGGCAAATATTGAAATGTCTGGCAATTAGTGAGAGGTAAACATAAGACAACTACCGATTACAACCCAGGGAGGACATAATCAAATGAGTTACTTTTTCTTTCTTTTTAAACAAATTTTTTTTTTTTGAGATAGGATCGGCCTGTAATTTGCTAAGTAGACCAGACTGGTCTTAAACTCACAGAGATCCGGCTGCCTCTGGCTCTAGTGTTGGGATTAAAGGTGTGGGCCACCAAGTCTGGCTACAAAGAAGTTAAGCAAATAGGATTATTTCAGAACACATAATTGTAGGCAAAACATTAACGGAAGTAGCAATGCTTGAAAAGACCTGGTAAAGGTGCACAGCTGGATGGATCCCTATTATAAATGCTTTATAATATTTGAATGATGAGTGTGGATGTTTTCTGTCCTAATCAGCTGAAAAAATATTAAAAATATGACTTTTTTTTTTCTTTTTCTTTTGAGATAAGGTCTCCCTGTAGCCCCAGTTGGCCTGTACTATGTAGACCAGGCTTGGCTCCATCTCACAGAGGTCTGCCTCTGTCTCCTCTGCTGGGATTAAAGACCTGAGCCACCACGCCTGGCACGACTGCATTATTTAAAGAACTATATCGTTAACCAGCAAATATGAGAGGACAGAACATACAGTTCAATACCTGGGGTACAAGATTTAAAGTTAGTAATAGGTCAAAATCCTCAAGAAAAATAATCACGGCTTGCTTATAAAAAGTTGTTTAACAAATAGAAAAAAAAGTCTTTATAGTTACCTGAGCATAGTAAAATGAATTGAGGGGAGAAAACTGCATTAACAGCTCTTATAGGCTCTGGATTTCGTGCAAGGGCAAGGTAGGGGTGTGTTTCCTAGGGAGCGGGTGTTTGTGACTTCTGTGACCCTTCTGCGTTCTATAAACCCACCCAAGATAAGATCCTGCTCACTCCGACTCCTGAAGACAAGCCACCATTGGCCAGCCTGAGCCCCCAGGAGCGGCAACTTCCAGGGCAGGCCCCGGAACCCTAACATCACAGCTGCTCGCCAACCCCACTCAAAGCCTGAACCAGCACACCTTGGGTTCCCTTGCACCAGCCTCCCAGCAACCCCCGCGAGGCCTGAGCCCACCCTGGGACGTACGCTCCATGCCCCGCCTCCGGAGTGTGGCGGAAGTGGCAATGCGGTCGCGCGCCACCTGGCCTGGCGCGCATGCGCTGCCGCCGTGACGGGGGCCGGTTCGGGTCTTCTATCTGGACGCTACCTCCTTAGGCCGCGCTCCCCCCCTCCACCTCAAGTGGCGCGCACGCCATCTTGTACCCCCCCTACCAGCCGAGTCACCTTTTCCCTCTCTACATTCTCGGTCCCCCACCCCGTCCTCTGCCCATCGTGTCCCGGGGCCGCCGCCGCCGAGACCGCGCCATCTCTGTCCCCTGTCATTTCTCCACGCGGGACGCGCAGCCGTGCCTCCAAGTGTCCTTAAGCAGAGGTTGTGGGGCGCGTGGGGGCGGCGGGGAGCGGGGCTCAGTCCAGGGGGCGCGGAGGGCCGAGAGTCTCGGGTCCCCACCGCGCGGGCCACGCCCAGGCCTGGCCGCCAACGAAGTCCTCGGCGTCTCCCGGGGCTTTGGGTCCAGCGGCCGCGGGGCCCGCGCAGTGCGGGCTGCACCGAGGCTCCTCCCCGTCACCGGTGGGCGTGGGGCGAGGGGAGCGGCCGGGCCAGGCTGGGAGGCCCCTCGGTAGCGATGGGGGTGGGGGTTCTTCTAGAAGGAGACCTTTGCTTTCTGGAACTTTTGTGCAAGTATGGGGTTCGCAGAGGGGACCAGGCTAGAGCGGTTCTGCTGTCACCTCTGCGGACCCTGGGGAGAGCATGTGGCTTGTCCTCCAAGTCCTGGATGTTATGATCTGTAAAATGGGCACCCTGACAGCCTAGCCCCCCGAACGGGGAGGCTTATGCGAGAATATCCGTTTGCTTGAGTTAGCTGCACCTTCTGAGCATTGTGCTCAGAAAGTGCGTGAGATTCTTGCTTTCCTACTTAAAAAATCAAGACACGTGGTTGGAGAAGTGAGCGGGAAGGGATGGGGATAGTGGAATATATTTGAGGTTCCGAGAGGATCCCAGTGTTTAAACAATGTTGTGTTTTGTGCACCTGGATAAATTAACATTGTGTCCATGAGGTTAATAGAAACTCGTTAGAAAGAGGTACGTGTTTATCTAGGAGGTGACCTGGGTTCTCAGGATTGCCGAAGAGCAGATCACTGTTGAAGGACTGATTTGTAGAAAAAAATTGGCGGGATTTCTTATAAACCTTCCAGAGAGGCAGGATTTCAGTACTAAGGGATAGGGTTTTTTTGTGTTTATTTTTTTAAGACAGGATCTCACTTTGTAGACCAAGCTGGCTTTGAACTCAGAGATTCTCCTGCCTCTGTCTCCCAAGGACAGTTTCTTTTTTTTATTAAATTAATTAATTTTTATTTTATGTATATAACTATTGCCTGCATGTATATAAGTGCACCCGTGTCGTGCAGTGCCTGCAGAGGTCAGAAGAGGGTGTCGAAGCCCCTGGAACTGGAGTTACAGATGGTTTTTAGCTGCCATGTGTGTGCTGGGAATCGAACCTGGGTCCTCTGCAAGAATAGCCAGGGACAGTTTCTTGATAGTGCTTTGCAAAAACAATGTTCTTTATCGAGCTATTGCAAGTTTTTTCCTTGGGATATTCAAACACAATGTGTTTATCGTTAAAATTGCGCTGCCCAGCGGAACTTTGTGACATGGTGGAAATCTGGGGCTTCAGCATCGTTGCTGCAAGGTACAGGTGGCGCCGATGAACTTAATTTTTAATCGCCTAGCAAATTAATTTCAATTTAAGTAACCACATTCTGACTAGTGGGAACTGCACGGGATAGCATATGTCTGAAAAATTAGGGGCTCTCACATTTTTGATTTGGTTGAATTTTAAATCAGAAAGGCCAGTTCCTAGAACATGTTGCCTTAAGGAATCATAATTATATTCACATAACGCCTGCATTCAAAAGCTATAGTTCAAAGCATGGGTCTGTTAGTATTTATTTACAGCTTGGCAAATTAAAGCAAAGCACTCTTGACTCCACGGTTCTAAAGCTAATGCCAGATTTAGTTGGAAAGACAACAATACTAACTGGAGTTTCTTATAATCATTGTACTGTCTTTTATCACTTGGCTGGTTCTTAGTGAAAACTTTTCAACTCTATTGCTTTTTTTTGTTGTTTTGTTTTGTTTTGTTTTGTTTTCCATTTGATAGATGTGTCCCCCCATTCTGTATAATAAAGCAGTTTAATATAAGTAAGAACCTTTGAGCATTGGGTATTTTAGAAATCATTTGGGTCTTCATAGTCAAAACTTGTGAAGAGATAAATGAAATATGTTGATAAAAGTTTCATGAGATTGTTTTCTTTGAGACATGTGCAGCTATTTTTCAAGCAACTGTTTATGAAATTTGAAAATAAAACTTCCCTGCCTCCCTGCCTCTCTTCCTGGTGCTGAGAATTAAACCCAGGGCCTCCCACATACCAAGAGGGTACTATGCCTCCAAAAAAGAAAAAAAAAAACAGAAAAGACACCACCACCAACAAAAAGCAAACAAAACTGTCTTAACTTGGGCCTGATGGCTGTAACATGTTGCCCTTGGTCTCAAGGCTGAAAAGAATTGTTAGATTTGGAACAACAACTTAAAGCTTCAGTTAAGTCACATACAGAGAATAGCCCATAATGTGCAAGTCAATGTGAGTTGTTCTTATATCTTAGTTTCTCTGGGACAGTCATGTCCCAGCATAATTACTACCAGAGCCCCTTTCATGCCATCAAAATGTTCCAGTTTGGACCGTGATAACATGACCACTGTACATGGCCACTTGCTTTTTAGGCTTGATGAAATTCTTAACATTATTTTGGAATGATTAGCTGTATTGCAGTCTTAGAAATCTCCTTGTTCTAAAACAGTGACAAAGTTAATGTTTTTGTGCTTATAAATGAACTGTCTGGACTAAGACCATTTTTCACTTAAGCCACTGGCAATTCAAAATTTTTACCTTAGGTAGAAATCTTGGGTAGTTTGATCTTTGGTTCTCTTTGGGGAAGTAAAAAAAATCTTTTGGTATAAGGGGCTACAAATAGTCCAGTGTCAGTATAATCAGAAGGTTGAATATTCCTGTTGAAATAACACCTGCTTTATTTATTAATGAGGTCAAATAGTAAATCAACCAGAAATCTGCTTGTCATGTTATTAGAATGCTAGTGATTTTGCTTGTAGTTCACTTAAAGAATGAGAAATAATTCAGCTACTGCATTATTGTGTTATTGAATTCATATTAATTGAAGGGGATGAAATAATTTATTCTGAGTCATACAAACGTGGTTTAAGACTTCACTCTGCTACTTTTGAAATACGTGATTCGAGGCTTTGATTTAGGAAGCTTCAGTTACCTTGTTTATAAACTAAAGTTAATAATAGTACCCCCTCTAGACTCAATTAGGTACCCATCTGATGTGTTGGACACAGCTTTCATAAACATTAGGTACTATTAAGCCTTAAGTTTGTTGAATAGGTTATAAAGAGAGAGTGTTTTTAGATGCACTCTGGATTGATAGAAAATACACTTAAAACCAGTTCCCCAAACCTAGTTTTTGTCCTTTTTAGATTTTAAAAATTGTATATGATTTCAGTTAAGATATTTCACCTTTCTGAGCTTCAATTTCCTCATCAGTAAAATGGAGTTGGTACCTCCTCACAAGTTTAATTGTGACCATCAAGTGAGAATTATATTTATAAATTGTGTTCTTTTTAAAATGTTGCTATATTTACTTGGTTTAATTTCATCTTACCTAAATTTGCTAAAAAAAATAGTAAGTTCTTTTAAGTTACAGTAGTGATGGCTGAATTGATTTGGTTACAGTTTATTCTTCATACAAAACAACTCCAGGAATGGAATTCCAGCCTTTTCTTGGGCACATGATGTGGTCCATCTCCTGTGCTAAATACCCTGTCTCATTCATTGATTTATCCTATCTCACCAAATAGGTGATACCCACATGGATGATGTTCTTTCTGGGTTGGGTCTTTTGGGTGTTCTGCACTACAGTACTGCCTCTGATAATAGCTGGTCAATAGGCAATGGGTACTGATGAGTAAAGGTAATAGGAAATAGCCTGCTGTCTGGCATGTGGTATGTGGCAGTTACTGAAAAAAAAAAAAAAAAAAAAAAAAAACTTAAAAAATTGTCCATATTAAGGAATATTGTGAATTCAAAGAACTAGTAAGGGGTGCTTC